ACACTTATCGCTAATTTGCTTGTAAGGAGATTGTTAGAATAAAGCTTACATTACTTAGGAAAATAATAAAATCTTGCAAGTCAGGTAATGAATCATTAATTTCTTTGAACTTTAATAAAAGATTCTTTAAACACAATTTTTAATATTTTAAAATGTTAGAAAATTATTAGTATGAGCTTCGGTGTATGACACTTACCGCGACACAAGCAGTATAAACTTTAAGTAAGGATGCACACTCGCTATCGTCATAAAATCCACGCAAAAATTTTTCCGAGAACCACACATTAAAGCAGTGATCGTATTTCCCTTTTAAATCTTTGCAGGCTTCCATAATTTACAATTGCGTTTATTTCTATCGAATGTTTTTAACTCTTATCACTGTGTCATTCACACGTGCACTTGTTAGTTCGCACATTAGTAAAGTGAACATTCATTTTCAAGTACTTAAAGTTTTTATATAATTTTACGCAAGTCATCCGGAAAATTAACTTTTCAACCTGTCTACTTCGTGAATCAACGATATCTTTTGCATTACTTTATATGAATTCAATATACATAGAAAGTACATAGACAGTGCAAATCAATAATCGAGACTACATATACATACATAGATATAAAAGACGAGTCAAAATAGTGATCATTAAGTGTATGATTGTAGTAAGAATACATCATAAATACGAAATCTAAGTATCAATTCGATTAAAAGTAAATATGATAAATGTCTGCAAATAAACTGTTTAGAATGTAACAGTTCGATTCATTGAAAGTTTTTATCGGAGTTTAAAAAATCATTTTTTTTCGAAAATCTCGTAATTTGAATTGCAAAATTAAATTATTTATTAACTTAAAACAGAGATTCAGAAGCGTAGGAGGAGCTTAATTACCTGTAGACATTGGTTGTATTCTTTGAAATGTTTAGAACACATTGAATCGTCGAAATCTCCTTTTAGAAATTTTTGCGAAAACCAAAGCTTAAAGCAGCTGTCGTACTCCCTTTTCAGGTGATTACAAGCTTCCGCGATGCTGTTCATTTATCTTTCGAGTATGCCACTAATTTAATAAGGATAATTATATCGGAACGACTTCCTGCTATTTAAAAAGGCATTGTATTTCTAACAATATTGCTCACAGTTAATAAATTATATATATATAAACATATTTTTTTACGCTTATAAGATGTAAACAATGATTTGATATTAACTGAACATTATTCAAACCGATTATTTGAAATGATTTTGAGTTTCGTTACACATATTGTATGTATGCAATTGCGTACTAATTACTGTCGATTAAAATCGATCAATCGAACAGCGTTCTTCGTCAAGTGTTTCGCGAGACAGTATGGTATTAATTTGATTACGTCTTGATCACATCAAAGGAATAATAATTTAATAACTAAATTTAAGGAAAAAAATAGAAATTACTTACGTTCAGATGGCCTTGTCAAAAATAAAATCAACGAGATATTATTGTTGTATAGTCGTTATTTTGTGGTTATGGTAATGAATACTTTGTATCATTTAGTCAATGGGTGATAGCTATCAACAGAGTCGTGTAACTAAATGTATGCACAATTTTTCTGTTAACACGATACTATCACCCTCTTGCGGTACGTGTTACTACTAATTGAATAATACGCGGGAAATTTAATATTTTTCTATGCACATGGAATATAATAGTTCGATGAAAATTTATGGTGTTAAAAGTTATTTAAGGAAATTTGTGTATACTTAAAAATTTGGAGAAAATGATTTTGTATTATTCACTTAATTATATTCTAGAAAATACATTTATTTATTTTAACAATATTAACTTAGTTTTAACAAATTCCATTAAAATGTATCTTACTTACAAAAGCATATGCATTTTGTGTTAAAAAATTAAATATCCGTGAAGAAGAAAGTTTTGACAATTGATAAAATTGTGTTAGCTATACTGTAATTATACACGCAAAATTCGAATATTTAATTATCAATTATAATAACTTTTGTAGAATATCAAGTGGAACTTGCATTGTTTGGTCATCAACTAAAACAATATCAAATACTTCCATATATGATTCCAGGCTACTGTCAACCTAAAAAAAGAAAAAATAGAAAATTTCTGTCTTTTTAATTAACTATTAAAAATTATGGTAAGTATCTACAATAAGGGAGCACCTTCCAATGACCTTGGCTATTAGAAAGTTTTAGCCATCATTCGTTCTTTATTACAAAGGTATTAAGAAAATAATTTTCATAATTAAAATATATCTTTTCAATACTATACTAAATCTGGATTAATACATGTAATTTACACCTATTTCAAACATTCAAATTTCAAATAAGTTTTTTAAGAATATTAATTTCTGATATGGCTCTTACCAGTAGTACATTTAACGAAATTGTTTTGTTAATATCTTTTTCACTATGTAAATCTTGACAATATGTGTTAAGGTCAAGATCATTCGAGAGTATCCTCTTATTGTAAATATTTACCATGTTTAATACTTACATGATCGTATAGAAAACCAATTTTTAATACTGCACCTACGTCTTTCATGCCATCTACCATTGATGCATCACCCAAGCTATCACCCATTAGCAAAACATTTCTTCTCCTTTCAAGAACTTTGAAATATTCTTGTTCTATTGCATGTTCATTTTTGTTGAAAACATGAATCAGTCTTTTATTTCTGAATCCTACTATCTTTCCATCTTTGTACTTAAGGAAATTTGAAATTACCTTAACATGAAAACATTGTTATGTATACTCAGTACCTTGACATTAAAGTGTAATTATTATACTATGTACTTTCCATTTAATTTCTATTGCTTTTATAAGATCATGAAGAAACTAAAAAAAAAATCTAGTAGAATTGCAGTGTGTTAATATGGGTATTACCTTCACATTATTAAAGAGAACTCCTTTGTTTCTTAATATAGCTTCTACAACATCCCCTAAACCAGCACTAAATACAAGTACTGGTATATCAACAGTATCCAATTTTTTTAAAATTTCTTGGGTACCATCTCGTAAATCTGTACCATAAACTTTTGATACTTCTTCTATTTCAATAGGATCAAAAGGTATTTCTTTCAATATCTTTTCCGTTTCGATCATCCAATTTGTCATTTCTTCAGCTTTTACATCAATTGGTAAATATGGGTCAATTTCAATTGGTCTATACTTCTTGTACAGTCGACTTGATTCTTTCGAATATGTTTCTAAAAGTTGCTTGCACTTACTGAAGACACCTGTGGCATTAAAATTGAGACAAGGTATTTTACACGATTATTATTTATCATTTTGAAATCATACTACTATTTAAAATTTTCATATCCATTGAAAGAAAGTATATTTACACATATTTACATACCAAAACTACTAAGAACTTTTTCACCATTAACATGTTGCTTCG